GAGCCACTGTGCCCAGCCTGCTTTTTATTTTTCTTTGTTAAGTTGAGCACCTGTGGTCATTTTATTTTATTTTATTTTTTCTCTTTTATTTATCTATTTAAAAAAATACATTTGGGACTATGCAGTTTCCTCTAATCAGGGAGATATTCAAAATATTTAGTAACTGCTACAACAGAAACAGCAGCCAGTTACAGTGGATCCTGGCCTGGGGAGCGCAAGCAGGACGGGCTGCCAGCAGGGCTGTGTTGTTCACCAGCTGCCTGGGGAGTGCCGCTGTGACCGCCCTGCAGCCACGGTGTGCAGGCACCTACCAAATCTCCGGCCTCCCTCGGAGCCGCACTCAGGCTCCCCACCACAGACTGTCACGGGTGGGCACAAAACACTGTTCAAAACAGCATCGGATTTCCTCTCTAACCCTTAAGTCAATTAGGATTCATTCTCAGTTTCTATCATTAAGGAGAGTCAACCGAAAAAGAAATTCAGAGAGATAGAATCAGTGAGCTGATTTGGGAATCACAGAGAGCTACGGTCTGGAATCTGCATGCTAGGATGGATCACAGGCATATCCAGGGGGTCTGGGGAAAAGGAAAGCTTTTAAAGACAGAGGCATCCATGTAAGCTGCCTTGAAGCCAAGTTCAGAGGTCACAGACGCTCACTGCAGTGGCCTTGCTCGTCGGTGAAGGCCACTGCCAGGTTAGTGGCCTTGAGCAAGCAGTGTCTTGGAATCTTGCAGTCTCGAGGAAGTACAGGCCTGCGTGTGAGAGGACTTCTTCACGGCCTTCCTCTACTGCAATTTTTTTTTTTTTTTTTTTTTTTGAGACAGAGTCTTGCTTTGTCGCCAGGCGCCAGGCTGCAGTGCAGTGGCACAATCTCGGCTCACTGCAACCCCCGCCTCCCGGGTTCAAGCAATTCTCCTGCCTCAGCCTCCAGAGTAGCTGGGACTACAGGCATGCGCCTCCACTCCTGGCTAATTTTTGTATTTTTAAGTAGAGACGGGGTTTCACCATGTTGGCCAGGATGGTCTCAATCTCTTGACCTCGTGGTCCGCCCACCTCAGCCTCCCAAAGTGCTGGGATTACAGGCGTGAGCCACCGCACCCGGCCCACAATTTTTTTTTAAGATGGGGTCTCACTCTGCCACCCAGGTTGGAGTGCAGTGGCACAATCATGGTTCACTCAAGTGGCCCTCCCATCTCAGCCTCCCTGCTAGCTAGGATTACAGGCAATCATCAACACGCCTGGCTAATTTTTTTTTTTTTTTTTTTTTTTTAGACAGAGTCTTGCTCTGTCACCGAGGCTGGAATGCAGTGGTGCAATCTCAGCTCACTGCAGCCTCCGCCTCCCGGGTTCAAGCAATTCTCCTGCCTCAGCCTCCCAACTACCTGGGATTACAGGCATTTGCCACCCCGCCCAGCTACTTTTGTGTTTTGTGGGGTTCCTCCATGTTGGTCAGGCTGGTCTTGAACTCCCAACCTCAGGTGATCCGCCTGCCTGGGTTTCCCAAAGTGCTGAGATTACAAGTGTGAGCCACTGCACTGGCCTACCGACTACATTTTTTTTTTTTTTTTTAACGTAAGTGACTCTTCTGATACCAGCAACTTTCACAGGTGTTTTTGGCTGTCTTTGATTTGTAATGCACCTGCCCTGGGCTCAGACAGTGACTATGACACCTGCTGCCACATTCTTGCCATGGAGCACGTGGCAGTGTCCCAGGAGCTGCACATAAGAAAAGCCTGGGTGCTGAGCACAGGCCCGCACCTCTGAGGACAGTGTGGACGTGGTCACAGGTGCCCTTCTCCACATCCCACCGACACTGGGTCCTACAGACTCTTCCACGACTCACTCCCACTGGCCCACAGCCGCGTCCTCCCTGCACCCACCTACTCCTGACTAGTATCAAGCCAGGTGCACACCAGGCAGTCCTGAACCAACACGCTCCCCTGGGAAGGCATTTAGTAAATACGTAAAGCAATAAACAGAAGACAGAGGCGGCGCATGCTCTGGGAGCAGGGGAGTGGAGAGACGGTGGTACTGCCCTGTAGTCTCCCCACCCAGATCTTGGCCTCATACTTCATCTTGGGTGCCCCGCCTTCTCTATTCCTTGAGGGAATATCTATAAGACAGAGTGGCCCGGTGCTCAGTGATCACTGGGGCCATTGCCTGTAACTCCCAGCACACTCCTGCAGGTGGCACTGTGATCTCCTCCACATCCCAGCAGGGAAACTGAGGCTCAGGCAGAAGTGGCGCAGAAGCAGCCATTGAGCATGGCTGTCCACAGGCCCTTACTCCTGCGCTGAACCTCAGTGGTGTCTTCCTGCCCCCACAACTGTGCATACTGTTCACCTGCCTAGAAGACTCGGGCCAAGAACCTACAACTAGGGAGACGGGTCCATCCCAGGCGCATCCGGGCAACAGCGGCACCGAGCACATGCTCTGGGAGCACTTGGCAGAGGTTGGGGTCACATCAACTGGGCCGGGTCCTGAGTCCAGCCCCGTGTCTGGTGGCCTGCACATACGACCGGCCTGGGAGCCTTCCCCGAATAGGTTGTCTGGGCAAGGAGTGGGGAAGAGTACTCCCAGCAGGTTGGGGACCAGCGCGGCAGGCATCTGGGACACAGTGGGACATAGCTGGGAGTTCAGGGACAGATGGAGGTCCCTGGAGGGTGGCCCTGCCCCAAGTGTCGCAGCAGTGGAAATGGCAGGAGGAGCTTGGGTAGGGATAACCCATCCAACTTCCACTTCAGACCCGTGGCTCTGTGGGCCTGTGCAGGCAGCAGGCAGGCCTAGGCCTGGAGGCGGGGACAGCTGCACCTGAGACAGACAAGCTGCAAAATTTGCAGGGCCGAGAGCAAAATGAAAATAATTCCAAACTTAGAAATTTAGGATGGTGCCAGAGAGCACTGAGCTGGGCACTGGGCTTTCCACAACCACCCAGGTCACACACCCAGGGGCAGTGGCAGGCAGGGTGGGAGGAGGGGCTGCCTTCATGATTACATGCCTTAGGGCAGGACCCAGTCGCTGCCTGGCTGTTGGGAGGACACAGGCCACGAGGAAGTGAGTGGAAACTGACCCAGATGTGCTGGTTCCCAGGCCCTGGCCCCGGGCACCGAAGGAGACAGGAAGCAGCCAGGCCCCTCGGCGCTGACGGCAACACTTGGCTGGGGTTGTCAGTTCAGTGTTGGGGGAGTGCCGGGAGTCTCCTGGGGACTAGAGGGTTCTGAGGATGGAGGCCAGGGTAAGGAAGGCGGGGCCTTCAGAGGCTGAAAGGGAGCAGATCACGGAGCCAGGAGGAGGCCTGGAAAAGACCACAGATCCCTGGGTCAGCGGACCCTGTGTGCCTCGAGATGCCCAGCCACGCCCCCTGTCCTCAGTCCCTGGAGACTTCAGCCCAGCTGCAATCCCTGGTGGTGGGTTGGGGCACCCTCTTCTATCCTGTGGCTCAGGCTCCCTGAGGAGCTTTGGGAGCCACTGCCCTGCCCAGCTTGGGCCTTGGAGACCTCTCTGTCAGGCTCTGCCCACTGGGCTCCCGTCCTACATCCTTGAAGCCTCTTCCAGAACCTCCCCACCTCACACCCCTCGGATCCTGGCCGTTTGCAGCCTCACGTGCCCCTCGGTCTTCCCTGTGCCTGCCTGTGTATGAAGGTGTGGCAAGGGAGGGTCCCTGAAGGCTGCTCTCCCCAACAGGCCTCCCTGAACCCCAGTGACCACAAGCTGGACGAGGAGCTCTGCCAGATGCTCACGCAGCGCTATGTGAGCATCATGAACAGGCTACAGAGTCTGGGTTACAACGGGCGGGTGCACCCTGCGCTGACCGAGCAGCTGGTGAATGCCTATGGCATCCTGCGAGAGCGCCCGGAGCTGGCGGCGTCTGAGGGCGGCTCCTACACCGTGGACTTCCTGCAGCGCGTACTCGTGGAGACCGTGCACCCCAGCATGCTCACCGACGCGTTGCTGCTGCTCTCCTGCCTCAACCAGCTGGCTCATGACGACGGCAAGCCCATGTTCATCTGGTGACGCTGGAGCTGGGCGGTCCAGGCTCGCTCGGCCCACACCCCCGTGCACGGCCATTAAAGCTTCTACCAACGCTTTAATGGGCCCATGCCAGCACTCCGGGTGGTGCTGCCTCCTCTCGGGTGGCCCACCAGGCCCCTGCACTGCGCCCCTTCAGTCCTGCCTGCCCTGGAGGTCCATGCCCATCCCGGGCCCTCTGCAAGGGCCCCAAGAAGCCAAGGCTCAGCAGTGGTCTGTGGGGTTGGTCTGAAGGCCCCCAGGCTCCCCTTCCATGGCACTGAAAGAAGTCGGAGCTCCTGGGACTGGGATGGGGAAGGGCAGGAACCGGGAAGGAGCAGCAAGAGAAGGGCCATGCCTCTGCACCTGCCGAAGCCATGAGGGGCGCACTCAGTGCAGAGCAGAAGGCAGAGGTGGGAGGAGACCAGGATGTGGGTGGGGGGTCCCTGCCCCCATACTAGGCCAGGGCTGGGGGAGGGGTCTTCCACACCTTGAGGACAAGAGGACATTTGAGGGAGAAGAGCCAGGAGAAAGCAGCCTCACCCCAACCTGGGCATGGAGCAGCCCAGCGAAGTGGCAGCCCCTTCCCAAGACATACAAGGCCATTCCACAGGCCCCAGAGACTTTGAGAGGGATTCAGAGCTGACAAGGGCAGACCCCACCTGCTGCAGGAGCTGAGGAGCACCAGCAGGATGCGGAGGCAGCCCAGGGGCCACCCACAGTGCACTGAGGGCAGATGGGGTGCTGGGAAGGACTTGTGGAAAGTGCAGGAAGCTGAGGGGGCCGGCCAGGATGGGAAGTCCCCAGGAAGGAAGACACGTGCAGTGTGGGAAATCCTAGAGAGGCCTCAGCCGCTGGGTAAGACAGGAGCAAGCCCACATGCAGGAAGGCGAGGAGGCCAGCTGCGATGGGAAGCAGGGGTGAAAACTCCAACTGAGAAAGGTCCTGGAACACCAGTGCTTGCCAGTCAGGGGGGATGACAGGAGGCAGCAATGGACCCATGGGGTCTGGGTTCCAATGGGAATCTTTCAGCAACCAGCAAGGAGTCCCAGAACCAAGAGGGTATGCAGGGTGTGCCCGCCCTGCCGGGATGCCCGGGCAGCTGAGCCTGCTGCCTCTGCCCTCCCAGCGCCCAGGCCTCCTGAGACTTCAGGGGATCCTGCCAGACACCTAACCTCTTCTCAGGGAAGGGCAGCCCTGACCCAAACTCCCAGGGCTATTTAACACATTTGCAGCAGCTGACCGCGGAACACATCCAATCAGACGTCCAATTAGACAGGTGAGAAGCGAGCAGAGCCTGGGGCTCCTGGCCGGCCAGTGTTGGGAACCGACTAGGGATGCCCGAGGGCTGGGCGACTGGGGAAACGCTTCAGTCAGGCTCGCGAGCCCCGGTGGAGCGCGCAGCGCGTGCGGGACAAAACCAACGGTCCCTCCCTCTAGACTGGAAGCTCCATGGGGTAGGGACACAGGGCCGTCACCACTGCGGGCTGGCCTTCTGGGGGGCTGTGCGGGGCGCTGGGCAGGGGTCCATCCCTCCTAGGGTGTCAGGTCTTTGAACTCAGGCGCCCCGACACCGCGGGGCTGCAGAGAGAGCGTAGTGGGTGGGGTGGATTCTGCCTTGGGGGAGCTGGAGTGCGCAGCCTATTCCGTGTTGACCTGCGTGGGGGCGAGTACTGGCGAGGAGCGCACGCTGCTCCTCACCTGCGCGGCGCCGCCCGCACTCAAGAACGGTCGCGGTCCACGTGGCGCTGGCTGCAGCCGATCCCCGTGCGCCTTCGCAGGTGGATGGCGCGGGGCAAGGAGGATACAGGGTGGGGATTGGAGATTAGGTCCCTTTTGGATTTTCATTTGTTCTCCCAACAGCCGCCGAAGTTCCTCGAGGGTTTGGAGTGGGCGGCTTCGCTAAGCGAAAGCGCCGGGCTACCCAAGCCCGAGCCTCCCCGCGGGCTCTGTGCACAGGCTGCGCCACGTGGCCTTCACCCCTCGACTCCTCCGCAGTTTGCGTGGACGCACAGACGAGCCAGCTTGTACTCTGGAAGCCAATGAGCCTCCCCCGCGCCCCGCGGCCGCACCATGCCATCCCCGCCCGACTGGCCCCCGGCCCCCGGCGCCCTGCGGCCCTCGCCCTTCCCGCACCCGGCGCTGCACGGCCTCCACCGCCTGGCGCGCGCGCTGCTCTTCCCGGCCTACTGGACCCTGGATCAGCTGCTGGGCTGCTGTGCACCAACGGCGCGCCCGATGAGCCTGGGGAGGCTGAGACGGGCGGCGCGCGGCTTCGCGGCGCTGCTGCTGCTGCTGCTGGTCGGCCTGCCCCTGGCGCTGCCCGGCCTGCTGCTCTGGCTGTGGCTGCAGGTTTGGCGCCGCCCCTTCTGCTACCGCCCCCCTCCGCTGTGCTGGGCGCCGCCCGCACCCTGGCGCCCGCCGGCTGAACCCGGGCGCTGCTTTGCCTTCCTCACAGCCGATCTGTGCCTGCTCCCCGACGGGCTGGCGCGCTTCAGCAACCTGCCGCACAGCCAGCGACGGGCCGAGGCCATCGGCGCCGCGCTGCTGGCCGGACTGCGGCCCCCGCTCTACAGGGCGACGGACTGCACCCAGCCCTGGCCCAGGGCGCCGCGCGGGGCACTGGTGGCCTCGCTGCCCGTGGGTCTGGACTTTGTGTGCCTGCAGGAAGTATTCGATCTGCGAGCAGCGCGTCGCCTGGTGAACCGCCTGGCGCCCAACCTGGGTCCTGTGCTGTACGACGTGGGTACCTTCGGCCTACAGCCGGGGCCGCACCTGAAGCTACTGGGCAGCGGGCTGCTGCTGGCCTCGCGCTACCCGCTGCTGCGCGCCGCCTTCCGTTGCTTCCCCCATGCGCGTGGCGAGGACGCGCTGGCTTCCAAGGGACTACTGTCCGCACAGGTACTGGCGTAACCTGCGCGGCTCGAGGAGCGGGCGGGGGATTCGGCTGGGATGGCGAGGAAAGCTGGGGCCGTCTGTGTCGCTGCAGGCGCAGCTGGGCTGCCTGGACGGGCGCCGCATAGTGGGATTCCTGCACTGCACGCACTTGCAAGCACCGGCTGGTGAGCCCTGTGGGTGGGGTCCTTGGAACAGGTCCCGCCTCTCGGTGGCGGCAGCCGATCCCTACCTTCGCCTGCACCCCGCCCCCCACTTCGCAGCCTTTGTACGCTGCCCCAGGCAAGGGAATTCCTGAGACGTGCCGGTCGGGGCTCACACACCAAGAACTGGGGAGGCGGGGGCTAGTTGCGGGTTCGAATCGGAGCCAAGCGCACCCCACCCCCCTCCCCGCCGCAGAGGACGGGCCCTTGCGCAGCAAACAGCTGACGCTAATGCTGGACTGGGCCGAGCAGTTTGAGGCACAGAGCGACCAGAGTGGAGAGGTCGTGGCTTTCAGCGTGCTCCTGGGCAACCTAAACTTCGACAACTGCTCAAAAGGTCGAGCAAGAGGGAAGGGAGGGGGAGGATGGGGGAGGGGGGAGGGCGGAGCCAGGAGGCCCACCCTCCTCCCCCCACCGCGAGCCGGTCTGTCTCTGCAGACCACGCGCTGGAGCAGGAGCACGAGCTCTTCAGCCGCTTCCAGGACCCCTGCCGACTGGGCACACGCCAGGAGCAGCCCTGGGCCCTGGGTATCACACTTGTGGGGAGGGCTCCGGAGCGGGAAGTGGGCCTGAGGAGCGCTGTCGGCCGAGGCTCCGGCTGATACCGCCCTCCCCCGGGCCCCCAGGGACCATACTGAGCACCTCCGTGCTCCACCACTCCGTGGCCTGCTCCCCCGAGATGCTGCGGCGGTGAGTGACTGGGAGGCAGGCACTGCCCACCCCGAGCCCGTAGTGGGGCCCTGGCCTTGGCGACACCGCCCCTCCCTACCAGGGCCCTGGAGCAGGAGAAAGGACGCCACCTCTACCTGGCCGGCCATCCCTGCAGAAGCCTCCGGGCTAAACCCTGGAGAGGTCGGCGCCTGGACTACATCACCTACTGCGGAGTTCCCGGGGGCCTGCTGCGCCCAGTGAGTGCCGGGGCCCAGGGTGGCTGGGCCTGCAGCGCTGGGACGACCCTCAACCTGACCCCGCCCCCAGGAGGTGCAGCAGGTGATGTTCAGCACCGCCCTGGCAGGGCTCACGGACCACCTGGTGGTGGGCCTGCAGCTACGAGTCTCTGCGTCCTAAGGCGCAGGTGGAAGGCGCGTAGCCGGCACACACAGACACGGCTTGGAGCACGAAGTAGACGCAGTGGCCTTGCCCCGAGAACCGGACGACTTAAGGGATCTTTATTGCCGACGCTGCTGCTGGACTGGGCCGAGCAGTCTGACCCTCACACGGCCTCCTGGGCCCGGCGGTACTCGAAGACGCTACCGTGCTCCGGGAAGGCCAGCGCTAGCGGGGGGGACCCCGGCGGTGGGGCGGGGTCCTCCGGGTCCCCGTAGCCCCCGCCGCCGGGCGTGTGGAGACAGAACACGTCCTGTGGAGGGGGGCGGGCTCAGCGCAGGTACAGCCCCTCCCCGTCACCTGCGCAGCCCCCTCCCCCGCGGGGCAGCGTCCATCACCCGCCCCGTGGACTGCAGAGGCCCAGCACGCGCCCCCTTTCCTCCCGGGGCCAAATTAAACTCTGGCGTGTGGTCATGTTTGCAACTGTTCACCGTCCGTGGGATGGGGGCCAGTGGGGAGGGGACCAGGACAGGCCGCAGCCCTTACCCCAGGGTACACGGTCACCGATGTCTTGCCGCCCAGATTCACCGTCCGGCCGTTTCTGCGGATCAGCAGGTTTAGGCCGCGGGCTCCGGGCTCGCCCCCTGCGGAGGGAGGCGAGGAGTCCAGAGAGGCGGGGGCGGGGGGGGGAGGGGGCGGGGCCGGCCGCGGGGACTGGGGGGCCGCGCACCGTGGAGCCCGTAGGGCCGGAAGGCGCGGCGCTCGGTCAGCACCGACAGCAGCGCCTCCTCGCGAAAGAGCAGCTCGCGGATGACACCGTCGCCGCCCCGGAAGCGGCCTCGGCCCCCAGAGCCCCGCCGCAGCTCGAAGCGGCGCAGGACGACCGGGTACCTGCGGGGCGAGGGCAGAGGCTCAGCGCGGCCCTCGCCCCGGTCCCCCCACCCCGGCCGCCGCGCGCGCCGCTCACCGGCTCTCCAGGATCTCGGGGTCGGTGATGCGCGTGTTAGTCATGTGGCTGTGCACGCCGCTGCGCCCATGCCAGCTGGGGCCCGCGCCCGCGCCGCCCGCCACCGTCTCGTAGTATCCCATGTGCGCGTTGCCCAGGGTCACGTTGTTCATGCAGCCCTGGCGAGGGCATGCGGTCTCTGCGCTGCGCTGGGGCGGGGCGTCCCTACCTCGCCGCCAGCTCCCACCCAGCCCGCCCCACCCCGCCCCGCACCTGGGAGGCGGCGCAGGCCCCAAAGGCCCCCAGGATGACATCCACCACGCGCTGCGACGTGAGCACGTTGCCTCCCACCACGGCCGCCTCTGGCGACGGGTCCAGGATTGAGCCTCGGGGAATCACCACGCGCACTGGCGCCAGGCAGCCCTGTGCGGGGCGGGCGGCTTTCAGGGGCTCGTAGGGTGGGTGGAACCCACTCTGGGGCTCCAGGAGAAACAGCACCCCCCCCAGCACCCTTGGGGGTCAGTCCATGGCTGGGCCCAGGAGGCGCACTCACGGTGACCTCGGGCTGAGGCCCCCCCTCTCACACACGCCCCTGCGAACCTGGTTGAGCGGGATGTCGCGGCCCACCAGACAGCGCAGGCAGTAGATGAGGGCGGACAGGGTTATAGCCCGCGGGGCGTTGAGATTGCCAAACACCTCCGGCCCGGTGCCGTTGAAGTCAAACACAGCGCTGCCCTGCGCCCCAGGGAAGCAAGAGGGCGTCAGCCTCGGGTCTATGACCCTGCCGCCCAGAGGCCCTCTCCCCGCAGCCCACCTGTCTCAGGTTGATCTGCACGCGGAGGCAGATGGGGGAACCGTCATCCATGTGGTCTTCCGAGGACACCTCCAGGGGCAGGCCCTGGGCCTGCCGGGAGGTTCCAAAGGCACGCAGCATGTCACGCACGGCCAGCTCCGCGTTCGCCTGGCAGGAAGCAGAGTCAGTGGCAGCCTGGCCACCTGCAGGGTGGCCCTGCTGCCCACACTCCTGTGCCCAGGCCCACCTGAATATGGCCCATGTAGGCCTGCACCACGTCCAGGCCGTACTGCCCAATGAGCTCCCCCACCAGCTGGATGCCCTTCTGGTTGGCTGCCACCTGGGCACGGAGGTCTGACAGGTTGTCATGCAGGTTTCTGGTTCCACTACAGTTGGGGACCTTGCCTGGCGCCCTCAGGGCTTCAGTCACCGCTGGATGAACAGTGTTATCACTGAACCCCTGGCCAAGCCTGTCTGCTCCCCCAAACCCAGGTTTCCTGGATCCTGACAAGGTCTCCTGCCCCTAGAAAACAGCGATGTCTGGCCTGGGACTGCTCCCCACCTCAGGAAAGGCCCTCTCCTTGAACCTGGGTCAGGGTCCTCTCTGAGGCACCCTGGCCACAGGGCCCTCTGCAATACACCTGTGTGTGGCCCTCTGTGGTCCACACCCCCTGCCCCAGCTCATACTGAACAAAAGAGCAGCCAGGAATGGGCCACCCCATTTGTGTTGACACCCAGAACAGCCTGTGGTTCCATGACACCCACCCACCCTCCACCCCCACCCTCCACCCTGGCCACGCCACTTCCCCTGAGCTCCCAGATCTGCAGCCTCAGACCAGGGCTGCTTTCTCCTGTCTGCCCTAGCCGCACCCGCACCGCAGGCACCCCTGCAGTCTCCATCCCACCCTCCCTGCAGCTGCTCAGTGCCAGGGCCTCCACCTCCAGCTGCCCAAACTTGACCCTGGTCCTGTCTCCCAAATCCCTCCAAATACCCACCTCCACCTCCAAAAGAGCCCCCCACCCCCTGCCCTCACCCTCCACTCAGCCCGGCTCAGCATCATCCAAGGCAACTGCAGCTGCACCCCCTCTTGCCCCCAACCTCTGGGCCACTCTCAGACCCCGCATTCTCTCTACACGTGGGCACAGCAGGACACCAGCGCAGACCCAGCTGAAGGCCCTTCACGGCCACTCACCTCCCAGTGACTAGGACCCAGGCCCAGAAAACTCTCCAGGGGCCTTTGGGCCCTGCCCCTGCCCTGCTGTTTCTCTGCGGCCCCCACCCAGTGTGACTGCACACACCACAAGCAGCTGCCCACCCTGAAAACAGGCTCCTCTGCCTCCAGCACCCTGACCCTGCGCATCTTGGCTAACTCTCCACCCGCAAAACCACCCCCCAGAGGCCTTCCTAGGCGGAGGCTGAATTCATCTCAGCTCCTGAGATCTGACCTGCAGCTGCCCCCTGGGGTCACCACCTATCTCCTCCCAGCCTCAAGGCAGGCCTGGGCCTGTGGACTGCATCCCATGCCCCAGCCAAGCCTGCTTGCCAGCTGTAGCTCTGTGTCCCAGCCTGCAGCAAGCCCGCCCCACCCCGCTCCCACTCACCCTCCTCCTGGAAGACGCCCCCCTGGACGAGTTTGAAGGACAGAAAGACGGCGCCCTCTTGTTGCAGCGTGGTGGAGTGGGGGGGCATGGAGCCCGGTGTGATGCCCCCGATGTCTGCGTGGTGCCCTCGGCTGGCCACATAGAACACAGGCCGCGTCTGACCCGGCCAAAACACCTAGCGGGTGGAAAGCCATGGTCAGCTGCATCGGCCACCCTGCCCCAGCAGAGGCAGGTGGGTGGCACCCCTCACCGGTGTGATAACAGTTAGGTCTGGCAGGTGGCTACCCCCGGCACTGGGATGGTTGCTCAGTAGCACGTCGCCAGGGTGGAGGTTGGCACCCAGGTGCTGGATCTGAAACCAGGAGACAGGGGCAGAGTGGGCACAGGGGAGCAGGGGGCAGAGCGGGATGGGGGGTGAGGGAGGGTGGGCGAGGGAGGGGCCCCCACACCTGGAACTGCACAGTCTCCTGCATGGCACCCAGGTGCACAGGGATGTGGGGAGCATTGGACACAAGCCCCCCATCGGGCCCAAAGAGGGCACAGGAGAAGTCGAGGCGCTCCTTGATGTTGGTGGAGATGGCCGTGCGCTGCAGGATGCGGCCCATCTGCTCTGGGGACACAAAGTGACCAGGCACCCACTCGTCCCACCCACCCACAGCATGGCCCAGGAAAGGGAGGAACAGGACCCACCAGGGCTCAAACCCAGGACCCAGCAGCTTTTACCTGGGGAAGACCAAGGTGGCAGCATGCCCACTTGGCCACGTGTCTTCGTCTGTGTAAAGGACACCACCTTCCTCCCCAGCCCCTCCTGGAGCTCCCAGCAAGAACCTGGTGCCAGCCCTCAACCCTCCCACCCTGCCTGGCACAGCAAGAACGTGCTTCCTAGGCTCTTGACCCCTCCGACCAAGCCACTGGCCTGACCCTGCACAGATGGGTTCCCTGTGGTGTCCTCAAGAACCCTCCTTAGCCAGGTAGGCAATCCCCAGATCACACGGCTATGGGTGAGAGGGGAAGGTGTCCTCCCTGCCCAAGGCCTGTTCTCATGGCCAACTGCACCATGCCAGTGCTGCGGCCACACTGCCCGCCCGGTGGCCAGGGGGTCCTATTTTTGCCCTTCCCTTTGGGCACAGCCCTGCCAGCCACCCCATGACACAGATGGCACCTTATCCCACAGGGAGCCAGGGCAGCAGGGAACCTGGCAGCGGCCACTCACCAGCAATGCTCATGAAGCGGTGTGAGAAGATGGACAGCTGGATAGGGTCCAGCTGGGTGCCCACCGTACCGGGGGCTTCAGCCCCCACAGAGATGCGGATGTCCCCTGTCTCAGTCACCTCTGCCTGGCAACCTGGCTCCACCAGGATGGTGCTGAGGAGCAGAGGACACAGAGAGGCTGCATGGGGCCAGAGACACCACAGTCCCAGGCCAGGGGACACCCCAACGATGGTGGAATACAGAGTCCTGCAGGCCCCTGCAACCTTGGGCCAGAGAACCTCACACCAGAGGCCCCACAGTTGACCCCTCCACACCCTCCACCCTGGCTGGACCTCAGCCCACCTGTTACTGTCGATGATGAGGCAGGGCCCCTGGAGCTTGTGCCCATAGCCCAGCTCTCCCAGCAGGTACACAGGGGTCTCCTGGTAGCCCCCCTCAAAGTAACACTGGGTCATCTGCAGAGAGCGTGGGTGAGTGCAGCCCAGCACCCGCCCCAATGCCTCTCGAAGG